TGGATGGATGGATGGATGGATGGATGGATGGATGGATGGATGATGGATTGATGTAGAAATGGGTGAGTGATAGATAGATAGATGGATGGATGGATGGGTGATAGATAGATAGATAGATAGATAGATAGATAGATAGACGGATGGATGGATGGATGGGTGATAGATAGATATAGACGGACAGACAGATATAGATATATGAATGGGTGCTGATAGTAGTTTGTTTTGACAGCTGCAGTCATCTGAATGTCACTCGTGAGGTTCAGAGCTCCACAGATCCAATCACTTATTTGATTACAGATTCTCATCCACACAGATTGGATTAATGTTTAGGAGGACACTGAGAGGACGGAGATGTTCACGCTTGTGTAAGATCAGACATGGAAACCCATTACCATGATGAAGAAGATTAGCTGAAGCAGCAGTGAAAGTCCAAACACAAAAGTACACAGCGGATCTGAAACACACGGACGGGACAATTAGATCAACAGACGGATTTGTTGGAATGAGATCACAGTCATTTTCTTATCAGGACCCAAGAGTCAAGCACAGACTCAAACGAGATCTCAAATCCATTTCCAGTGACAATGCAACAATACAATCAGTCTGCAGTCAGTTATTAGCGCTGTTTCCTAAGGCGAGCATTACAGCTATAGTATAAGACTGAGATATTTTTAACTTTAAACGGTCACTTCTGGCCAAAATATGAGTCCATAATCCATAATAACGCTTCCCCCAGGGAAAAAAGTCCATCACCTGTTGTCCTCTCTCATCAAAATCCACACACACATATTTGTTTAGAGGTGTTTTGGACTGTTTTTGCTTGTAAACAGTGTTTGATCTGTACATATTTCTCTACTGATTCAGACCAGACAAGAAAGCAATATCATATTCATATTTTAGCTGGAAGTGACAGTTTGAAGTTAACAACAGCTTAATGATGGATTTGTTTCTTTCAAACATGCACAATATATTAATTGATGGACTGGAGTGGTGTGGATTACTTGTGGATTATTGTGATGTTTTTATCAGCTGTTTGGACTCTCATTCTGACGGCACCCATTCACTGCAGAGGATCCACTGGTGAGCAAGTCTCCAAATCGGTTCTGATGAACAAATAAACTCATCTGCATTTTGGATGGCTTGAGGGTGAGGACATTTACATTTTGGGGTGAACTATTCCTTTAAAAGGACATAAAAGTCCTAATAAATGTCACCTTTGTGTTCTCTTGTATCAGCAGTTCCTGATGTCCAGATGCAGTGTTTATGTAATGGTTCAAAGCCTCATTTATCTCTCAGGTGCTGTTAGAGTAATATAATACAGGCCGTGACCTTCCCCTCCAGCACCTGATGTGATCCTCCTCGGAGTCTGTGAGTTTATAATGACGCAGCACTCGCCGTTTTAATCTCAACTGCACAAACTCACACTCGACTGTGTGGTACACTGAAATGAAAGGATTTGAGAGTCCTGGGAAATCTCCTTACAGCAACCCCATGCCTGCAGATCACTGACCTGCTGTCATCCACACGCTCATGTCCTCAAACCGTCTTTGAAAGATTTAAGCTTTTCTGCTCATTTTATGACCTGCAACTATCAGCAGTTTCTCTAGCCGTTCTCTCTGAAATAGGTTCCAACAAATAATACCAGGCTTTCTATACCATATTAATTTAGACGTATACAATTAATGTTACAATTCATTTTTAATGTTTTTGAAAGAAGTCTCTTCAGTCTGTTCACCAAGGCTGCATTTATTTGATCAAAAATACAGTAAAACACTAAAATTGTGAAATATTATTACAATTTAAAATAACTGTTTTCTATTTGAATATATTGTAAAATGTAATTTACTCCAGTCTTCAGTGTCCCATGATCCTTCAGAAATCATTCTAATATGCCGATTTGCTGCTCAAGAAAAATTTTTTGGTTATGATCAGTGTTGAAAACAGTTTTGCTGCCCAGTATTTTTCTGACAAATGTGATGCTTTGTTTCAGAATTCTTTGATGAACAGAAAGTTCAAAAGAACAGCATTTTTGAAATGGAAATCTTTCATAACAAAAAGACATTAAATGTCTTTACTTTCACTTTATAAACTATGTAATGAATAAATACTTGCTGAATGAAAGTATTAATTTCTTTAAAAAACACACTATATATATGAAATGAATAAATCCATAAACATTATTTTTTGTAAATACACATTCAATTTATTACCAATTTAACACTCTATCATTAGACATCTGACAGTGACTTCATTTAAAACATTCATAATTTTTTTTCTTTTTCCTCCAAAGAAAGATCTGAATTCATAATAACATCTATACAAAGACCAGTTAATAGGTACAATAATGGGCTTAAAAAGTGTTCTTAATTGTGTCAAAGCAAATTCAATGGCAACGAAAATGACACGAGGCGCCACACGGTGAACGGCAGTGTGTGTGTGTGTGTGTGTGGGCTTACATCATGAGCTTTATCACAAGGTACAACAGCGTCTGAGTACATGCACTAAAGTGCTAGTGTTTAAAGGCATGCATATCAAATATGATATCCGCACAACTGCTGTCCAAACCCTAGTCTACACATCCAGAAGAAACGTGCACTGGATTCCTAATGGAACAGGTGTCATAATTTGGAACCAATCCTAAACCACTGGATACTATCCTATCCATTTCAAAAGAAATAGTTGGAGAGTTGGAGAAATGTAGCATTACATCACTTGCTCACCAGTGGATGCTCTGCAGTGAATGGGTGCCGTCAGAATGAGAGTCCAAACAGCTGATAAAAACATCACAATAATCCACAAGTAATCCACACCACTCCAGTCCATCCATTAATGTCTTGTGAAGTGAAAAGCTGAGTGTTTGTAAGAAACAAAATATTAGTCCATAATCTATAACAATGCTTCCTCCAGTGAAAAAGTCCATCTCCTGTTGTCGCTCACATCAAAATGCACCAACATATTTGTTTTGGACTGTTTTGGCTATAAACAGTGCTTGATCTGTGCAGATTTCTCTCCTGATTCAGACAAGATGACTTTTTCCACTGGAGAAAGCAACATTATGGATAGAGTACTTATATTTTATCCGAAAGCAATGGTTTAAATTTAAAACTACTTAATGATGGATGGATTTTTTTCACACAATGTTAACTGATGGACTGGAGTGGTGTGGATTACTTGTGGATTATTGTGATGTTTTTATCAGCTGTTTGGACTCATTCTGACGGCACCCATTCACTGCAGAGCATCCCGTGGTGAGCAAGTGATGTAATGCTACATTTCTCCAAATCTGTTCTGATGAAGAAACAAACTCATCTACATCTTGCATGGCCAGACGGTGAGTACATTTTCAGCAAATCTTCATTTTGGGGTCAACTATTACTTTAAGGTTCAGTGAGCAATGTTGCACACTTTTAATTTTAGGTTTGTATCACTTTTAAACATTAGTCCCGTAATTTGCTGCCAAACGTCTACAGTATAAAACAATGCAGTGCTAGAATGCTACAATGAGTTGCTAAGCAACAAACAACCAATCAGAGCCTGTCTCAATGGATGGCTTATTAAATATTCATGCATTTAAATCTCAGATCTGAGGGAAACATGTTGTTTTATTTTTCATCTTGGTTTTTGCAGCACGTTTCATCCAGAGCAGGTTTACATGTTACAGTTAATAAACTCCTTTACAATTGGCTTCAAATTACGACGTAACTTCCAACTGGAATCCTGCACATATTCCTTCAGGATTTTATGACTTGGGAAATGTGCATAAGGATAATCAGTGTGAATATACTCTCCTGTCATCGTGTACGGAGTCGAACATTCAGTTTTACATTGGGTTTTAAAATACATTATGATTGACATCATGTATCATTAGTCCCTGTCGAGCTAGAGTGTGTGTGTGTGTTTTTATCTAATTCTCTTTACAAATACAACTGAGTCTTTTTAATTCAAGCATCAAAGGTTTCCAACGAAACGGGATGTACGCGGAAATTAAGAAAATAGTTTTATAAACTATATACACGGAACATCATTTAACAAATGATATTCACCCCTCCAAAATGAACAAAAATCAACACATGTAAACTTTTATGCTGTTCCGACAAACGTTATTACTATCCAGTTCGATTTTTCAGAACATCTGAAAATAAGTTTGCGGCTTCATGACCAACACATATCGAGTGGTATGTATTGCATACATGTACACGGACACACACGGGTACGGGACCGTTGCGAGGTCACGCGTGTGTAGGCACCTCTTATGGAACACTTTGCGGTGTTTTGCGTCAGTACATTCCAGGTCCTTGATAATTCCGAAACTGAATTTCTAGAACTGTTTCCGATTGGATCAGTTCAGCTGGTGCTCACAGAACTCTGCCCTCTAGTGGCAGGGCAGTTAAATGGTTTTTAGAAAGGTTCTCGATGGTTCCGTCGCTCCGGCGGTGTGCGTACGTGTGGTCAGGAACAGGATGGTAAAGGAGAGTGAAAGCATAAAATACAATCTTGATTTAACTCAATATTTCCCTTTTTTGGGCAATTTAGAAGTGAAATTCTAAGCTACTGTTCTACATCTTGATTGACGTGACAGAAGGATGTAGTCTAGGCTGGTTAAGGGAAAACCTCCTGACCGGGCTCCTCTGTCTCTGGGATGGTCTGAACCGGTCTGACGGGCGAGGGGAAGCGGAACATCTCCCTTCGGCCTTTGCAGTTGGGCGAGGATGAGGGCGAGTGGGCGGCCCAGCGGGACGGAGGGCAGCGGTTGGAAGGACGAGCCGGACGCAAGAAGCAGGAGTCCAGAGGTGGAGCCACTGGTGAACGAGGCAAGTCCTGCGTCAAGAAACAAAACATAAGCTTTCAAACTTTTTTTCTAACTAAGTTTATCTGTTAGCCAGTGGTAAGTCTGCAACAGTGTTGTTATTGTCAGCTGAATTGTCAGTTGTTTTTGTTAATTGAAATAAAGCAGAAATAAAATAAAATATTAGATTAAAAAACAACAATAGAAATGTTGCCTTGGCAACTAACTGCAATAAGTTTAGGTTGAAGTCTAAAAATGACTAAAGGCCCGTTCACACCAAGGACGATAACTATAAAGATAACGATATTAGCGTCCACACCAGCGAACGATATCGTCTGTGTATTCTAAGCGCACGCGCGTCTGCCGCTTTAAATTCTTGAGCTCGTTATAGCAGGATGGATTCTGATTGGCTGTCAATGTTTCTATCATTCATCAGCTGGAAAAAATAGTTCTGAAAATGATTCCAACGATATCGTTTCTCTGTGCCTTTATCGTTATAGTTGTGGTGTGGACTGTGCTATTCTTTAATATTGAGAACGATTTTTATAACTATATCTTTATCGTTATCTTTATAGTTATCGTGCTTGGTGTGAACGGGCCTTTAGACTATTAAAAATGACTAAAGCTAAAATAAAAATAAATCAAAGCTAAATAAAAAAACAAAAACTATTAAAAATGCTTTCATTATTTGAAATAAAGCTGAAATAAAATAAAATCAAATATAAATATTACATGAAATTTGTAATTTAAATTAGAAATGTTGCCATGGCAACTAATTGAAATAAAAGTTGAAGTACTAAAATTAATAAAACTGAAATAAAGATTATATTAAAGCTAAATACAAATGTACTAAACTACAACTAGTAAAAAAATGTTGTTAACTGAAAGCTTAAAAAAGTACTAAAAATAAATTCAAGCTAAACAAAAATAATAAAAACTAAAACTAATAAAAATAGCAAAAGAACACAACAAAATTACTAAAGTAGCTTTTTATCATCTTCGGAATATTGCTCGTATAAGACCGATTCTCTCTATGCCTGATGCAGAAAGGCTTATTCACGCTTTTATAACATGAACAGCTTGATTACTGTAATTCTCTTTTTGCAGGGTTACCTGCAAATTTGATTAAGAGGCTGCAATATGTGCAAAATTCAGCTGCTCGTGTTTTAACTTACACACCATCCCGCAGTCATATCACTCCTGTGCTTTCTCAACTACACTGGCTTCCAGTTCAATCACGTATTGATTTTAAAGTTCTTATCTTAACCTATAAAGCAGTACATGGGCTGGCCCCAGAGTATATTTGTAATTTGGTCACAGTGTCTACACCATCTCGGTCTCTCCGCTCTGCTGGTTCTCTTACTCTGTACCAGCCTCGTTGTAAACACAAAACTATGGGTGGGAGGTCATTCTCAAGTGCTGCTCCCAGGTTGTGGAATTCTCTGCCTTTTCCTATTAGGAATGCTCCGTCTTTTGATTGTTTTAAGAAATTACTCCAAACATATCTCTTTATTGAAGCGTTTAAGTTATAATCTTACAGTTGTTGTTGCCATTGTTGTTATTGTGTTGTCATTGTGATTGTTATTATGGAGTAGCGCTGTTTCTTTTATTGTTGTTTTATACTGTTGTAGCGCCTTTACAAATAAAATGTATTATTATTATTACTAAAACAAACAAATTAAAATGAAAATACAAAAATAAAAGTTAATTAAAAAGTTAAAATATTAAAAAAATACTATAATACAATACTATAGTATATACATAATACTAAAATAACACTGGTCTGCAAGCATTAGTGCTTTTACAGTTTAAACTTTTAACTAAAATGGATAAACACCCATTTCATACTGTCTGTAGCAAATAGTAAAGAATGATACTCAGTTTGTTTTGATTCAGCAGAACTTTTGCTTTCGAGGAAAAATGTGGTTTCAGCTTCTAATTCTAAACAATTCTCCCGAGCGATAAAGCAAAAATTAAAAATGAATGAGATTCCAGCATGAGAGGTGGATATTTTGTGTGGCTTGAATAATTCAGAAACAGGGATTTACTACGTCTACTTGAATCTGCGTTCTGTTTTTGAGCGAGACTTTGAAGCTGATACAAAGTGAATTTAAATGGAGTCCTGCAGTTCAACTGAAGCCAAAAAAAAAAAACCTGCATGTTTTTGATTTGTTTATACACTCCAGTGAAATCATATCGAACATGAAATCAGTCTTGTTACTGTTAACTAAAACTAAAACTAATGATTTTTCATTTTTTTAAATGTTAATTGAAATAAAGTTGAAATAAAATCAAATCTAAATATCAAAAACTTAAAACTAAAAAATGTATTAAACTAATAAAAACTAATAAAAATGAGAAAATAAAAAGCAAAATGACTGAAATTATAAAAATAAATGCTAATTCAAAATATGAATAAATACTAAAAAATTGCATATAAATAATACTAAAATACCACTGCATGAAACTCATCACAAATCTATAACAATCAACCTGAAACACACTACAGTCATAACTGCAAGCTTTGAACAAGCGTAAAGTTGTTGTTAGATGTTAAGAAATGAGACCCAGTATTAGCAGCAGATGTTAAACACTGTAGCAAAGGCACAGCCAACACCAACACCAGCCAATGAACCCCAAACGACCCCAACACACCACTGTCACTGCTAGCATGCAGTAATATTGAGCGGTGCTCACGTCCTGTTAACACCAGACAGCAAACATTACAGTACAGTGAACTGAGAAAGCACAAGATGTTACGCTGTAGAGCTTCCATCAGTTGGGCTGGTGAGGTTAAGATCCTTTGAAATGGACAAAAATAATAAAGTTACAAACACGTGGCAGCCAAAGGACCTATGAAAAATAAAAAAGTGATTATATATTAATAGTAAATGGTTAAACCATCCAAAAAGCCACTTGTGAGTTTGATATACAGTGACTCCAAAGGTATTTGTACACTTAAAGGGACAGTTCACCTAAAAATTCAAATTCAGTCATTTACTCACCCTCACGTTGTTCCAAACCTCTATGAGTTTCTTTCTTCTGTTGAACACAAAAGAAGATATTTTGAAGAATGTTGGTAACCAAAAAGTTGACAGTAGCCATTGACTTCCATTGTATGGAAAAAAAATATACTATGGATGTCAATGGCTACCGTCAACTGTTTGGTTACCAACTTTCTTCAACATATCTTTTTTGTTTAGCAGAAAAAAGAAATTCAAATGAAAAAAAAAAAAAAGAAATGGAGTAAATGATGACAGAATTTTCATTTTGGGTGAACTATCACTTTAAATGTGCTGTATGTAGGATTGACACCAAGTGGTTGAACTAGGTATTGCAGTCCAAATTCAAAATATTGGAGAGGGTTTTTTCACCCGGCCCCCCCTCCTCAGACTTGACGCACACGCAGGTTGCCAGATTGACGACACCAACAAGAACGAGTGCACTTAACGATGAATGAAATGAAATACGCTGTGTTTTCCACCAACTGGCAACCCGGGGTTCCGAAATACAATTGGCTAAACTGGCAGTGGGCGGGTTTCACAAACCAAAACAGAGACCGACATTCCGGCCCGGAACGCACATTTTCAAATGAGAATAACTGACTGTAGCATTGTTTTTCAGATAAACAAGTATGTTAACTTAGCATGTTTCTTAAATATCTGCAAACATATTATGGTATTTTTATGCTTTAGTAGAGTCAAAAACATACAGCACCTTTAAGTCAATAAAAAAAAGTGTCCAAATACTTTTTGTTTTGATTTCAAACACTTTTTTTTGTATTATCTTTTAAAATGTCTATTTGGGGAAACGCTGCACTTGAATAGTTTGCGTGTATTATTTAAAACCAACAAACAAATAAATTTGAGCCACTATATATCAGACAAAGTTTTGTTGTGTTTTTCCATATGAAATCCTACCCCGTGTGGATGAATATTTGGGATAATAATTTCAGTCCAATAAAAACTCTGATAGCTTTTTGGATGACTGGTTATTGGTGACGTCATTAATATTAGACGATGGGCATGCTCACACCTACATGAGGACAAAAAAGGTGTGACCACAACAAAGCACATACAATATTTCCTATAATGCCTAGCGGTGATACGGTGTCTAGAAACTGTGTGGCATGCAGTGAGAGAAGTCCATTAAAATCAGTGAGACGGAACACAAGTGAGGTCACTGTGAGGTCAAAGGTCAAGTAAGATCGGTGGAACTTACTGCACGGCGAGCGCAAGCTGCGTTACAGTCCCCAGGGTGCAGTTAGTAAGACAGTATGGTTCTGGAGACAACCCAGAAAAACAGGAGTAAACACACTGGTCAAAATAACACAACCACATCAGACTCAGGTTAGAGCTACAGCGGGGATCTGGCAAGTCTGGCTGGGTCGCAGGGCATCTACGGTAAAACCTGTAAAAGCAGCTCACTGTCCATTAAATATAAACGTTACAGCACAATATAGAATTTTGGTGAATCTCAAAACTTGTCCAGGTCATATTTCACCCCAAAATAAAAACAAAAAACAAACAAAAAAAACCACTGGAATTTGGCCCAATAAATGTTGCCCAATTATCACTACAATATTGCGATATAACAATATAATATATAATCATTATTGCATAAATAAATAAATAAGTCTTAATGTGGTAAATTTCTTAATGTAAATATATATTAATAGTTCTAAAAATGTATGGAAAAATAGCTTTATTATTATTATTATTATGGGGTGAAATGTGACCTGGACATGTTTTTTGTGAGATTCGTCTTCATACATTGATACATACTGATACATACACATATGATACATAAGTTTTTACTTGTTTTTACACTCAGAATATATCCGTACTTCTAATTGATATTCATATTTATTCTGCAAGGTGACTGCCTCTATTTAAAATTCCAAACAACAGAAATAATCAATTAACAATCTAATTTCCAATATAAAATTTATACTAACTTGAATTACTCTGTGCTTAACTGGCACAACTGTTTAGGGAATTCATCCCTTTCTTCAGTATTGTATGCATTCGTGCCTAATAATATCCATTACATTCCAAAGACAAATCCCAGATGCATACACTGCTCACAAAGAACTATCTGCCTGTAATGATGTTAAAATATGTCTTTGATCATTAACATAGCATCATGGGATTGTGCAATGATGCTGCTCCTACAGTAAATGCTGCTCTGTCTATTGACAAATGTCTCGTGCTTTCATGTGAGGGATTAATCTTCCAAATGGATCGAGGTTGGTAGGCATCAAATACTGGATATAACTTTATTATGGTGAATTAGTACATCCTGCATCCAAAGTAGTTATGTAAGCTAGTTCCACTGCAAAATAAAAAAACAAGCAGCACGTGATTATACTACTGTTAGCATTGCAACAAAGTAGCGCGCTAAAGCATGCAAGGCCTGCGATCAGGCAGCATTTGGCAGTTGGGAATGAGACTTTTTGATACTTTATTATAACATAATTTTGTACCTTGAAACTGCATTGTTCAAGTACCAAAACATTTAACAAGCAGCCAAATTTATACTGTAATATACACTAAGAATGAGACAAACTAAGTGTGCATGTACCCGAAGGAAATAACAAAATCACAAATGAGATCTCAAGATCTCATTTGTGTCTACTAGACAGCAATGAGATTAGACCAAATGGAGACATTTGCTTAGGTCTCCTGTTTGAAATAGACCCCAGAAATCTTATGTGTCTCCTATAGAGTTTCAGAAGAGCTCTTAACAATATCTCAAACTTGCTCAGATTTGCCAAGATAAAGTCTGAAACCAAAAGATCTTCATTTTGATGACAAATTACAAAGACAAACATGTGCACATGCACCATAAGACCAGGAACAACTATTAAGAAAGTAAGGTCAATTTTTCAAGTTGACTAATTCTCATGAGCTATAAAAGAGCATATATAGTGTTCTTTCTTTAGGTAGAATTAAATAAACCTCTCAGTTACCTCAAGACATTCTGGTTTCTCGGTGTCTCCGGTTTTGTTCGGAGCAGCTGCGGATGAAGTGGAAAGCCTCCTTTCTTCTCTGAAGCTCTGCTCCAGTAGTTTCTTATTCAAGATTCGTGCTGCATTCTCAGCTAGCGTGTAGCCCGGGGGAGCGGACAGGTCCTGTCTGATGCTAATCACCTCTGGAGATTTCTCGCCTTGCGTCTCTACAATCAGCTGCACAGGGCTTGGGGACCGGCCCCGAGAGTTCCTCAAAGGCTCCTGTGCAGCACAAACACTGGGAGATTTGGGGTCCGCTGGCCCTTGAGGCCCTGCTTCAGTGGGACGAGAGCGGCTTGGGGACTTGTTGAATTTCTGCAAGGGGTCGTAAGCGATGGGCGTGTGGTCGATGATGTTGAAGAGGCTGGAGAGGCCATCATTGATGGTGGTGTGAACGGGACTGTCTCTGGTCGTGGTCGAACGGGCCCAAGCGGATTCGTTGTTCCCTTTTTGCTGCTGGGCAGTGGTTGTTGGGGTGGGAGCACGTATTTGGCTGGCAGGTTGTTCTGATTTGCCAGAATTAGAGGGTTTCCTTTGGAGCTTGGGTGAACCGTATTTCGGCGAACAACATGGGCGTTCAAACTTGGCCTGTACAACTGGAGAGTACTGCATCTTTCTCAGGCTACGAGAGGGAGATGAGATGGGCGTGGAGCCTCCTTTGGGTGTCAGACAGCGGTGAGGGCTGCTTGTGAGGGTGCGAAGAGCCTCTGTTTGCAATCCCACACTGATGGTCTGGGTGGTCTGTGTTCCCCGTGTGGTTAAACCATTCGTCTGGGATGCCATGTCCCGTAGCTGCCTTTCCGGAGGGCTGGATCCGGATGCAGAAGATGATTGGATGGCATTTCGGGCACAAAACACCTTTTCCTTCATGTCGTCGCTCAGATTCCGTGACAGCTCCAGATCTAATGATGAGGTATACCCGACTGCTGCGCAAATTGATGGACGTTCTCCAGGCCTAAGTCCTGCCTCCAAATGACTCCTAAGCTCACACGGCCTTCCTCCAAACACCTCCTCAGCACCTCCTACTACCTCCTCTCCCTTTACGTTGGTCACTTTGGAGAACATGTACTCCTGCTCAGGGGAGCCTGGAGCAGACCGCTCCCCTTGAACGAGACTGTGGAGAACATTCACCCCAAACTGTTCACCCCCCTGGGCCGCCCTGAGTGGGAGCTTTTGGCAGTACTCAGGGCTACTCATGGTGTTGGTGGTCAAGGTAGCGCTGGTGGTCAGGTACCAAGAGGCTGGCTGGAATGCTTCTGAAGTAGACTCGGCCCTTCGGGATTCTGCCCTTTCTGTCCATGCCTCCATCACTGGAGAGGGGATTACTGGGCCAGGAATGGGGCAAGCAGCCAGGGAGCTGGTGGGCAGATCCCAACCCTTACTATTGAACTCCTCAATGTATTTCAGGTCATCTGGTGAAAGGGGAGGAGTCACATCGTCCCGTCCGTGCTCGCCAGGCTTGCTCTTATCTGGTAGGAAGGGGGAGCTGTCCATCAAACGCTGGAAGTCGCTCATGGAGCAAACTGACTTCGCCCTGCAGAGGCAAAAATGAATGAAAAGTTACATTGGTGTTGCAAAACATTGTAACCAACACTTCTCTTGACTTGTTCAGCATCCTGTATTATTTTGAATTTATTTTGATTTTGAGGGATTGCCTTATCTGCAAAGGCTAGACTCAATGCTCAAAGAACGTATATTATAAAGCAGCACAATGGCGCTGTTTACTTTTTGGAACAGTCTTTGTGTCTCCAGGGGAGTGCATCTATGTTCTCAGAGTTAACCCTATGCTCCCCTAATTTTGAGAACATGAGACCCTAAGAACTGGGGATTTTAGAACCTTGGGAATAAAGGATCCTGAGAACGGGGGAACATAGAACCCTAGGAACATGGGAGCCTGGGAATAGGGGATCTTGGGAACTGGGGACATAGGACCCTAGGAACACGGGACACTGGGAACTGGGAAACATAGAGCCCTAAGAACATGGAAGCCTGGAAACTGGTGAAAATAGAACCCTAGGAACATGGGAGCCTGGAACTGGGGAACATAGAACCCTAAGAACAAGGAAGACTGGAAACTGGGGAACATAGAACCCTAAGAACATGGGAGCTTGGGAACAGGGGATCTTGGGAATTGGGGACATAGAACCCTATGAACATGGGACCCTAAGAAGTGGGGAACATAGAACCTTGGGACCAAGGTGTCTTGGAAACTGGGAGACATAGAACCCTAGGAACATGGGAGCCTGGGGACAGGGGATCTTGAGAACATAGAACCCTAAGAACATGGGAGCTTGGGAACAGGGGATATTGGGAACTGGCGGCTTAGGACCCTAGAAACATGGGACACTAGGAACTGGAGAACACAGATCTCCAAGAACATGGAAGTTTGGAAACTGGGAAACATAGAATCCTAAGAACATAGGAGCCTGGAAACAGGGGATCTTGGGACCTGGGAACACAGGACCCTAGGAACATGGAATGCTAGGAACTGGGGAACATAGATTCCTAAAAACATGGAAACTGGGGAACATAGAACCCTATGAACATGGGAGCATGGGAACGGGAACTTTGGAACATAGTACCCTAGGAACATAGGAATGGATCCATCAGGAGCATGCCATTGATACTTTAAAGCACTCTATAGACCAATTTCAGTGTTTGCAAACAGTGATGACGTTTTTGTGGGCGTAGCCTATCTGGTGGCATAAAATGCCAGTTTTAATGTAGCAGTCTATTCAAGCCATGGAATAAAATAATAAAAAATGTAATTTTTAAAATGTAAATTGAAGTTTATATTTCAAAATTCGGACTTTTTTCTTGCAATTCCGAGATTATATCTCACAATTCTGGTAAGAAAAATCAACTCGTCATTCTTTCTTTTTAGTTTATAATCCCACACTTCTGGCTGTTCTTCCTCAGAATTGACAAACTCGCAATTGTTGACTTGAATAAAGTTATAAAGTCCGAACTAGGAGATATAAACTTGCATTAGCAAGAAAAAAAGTCAGAATTGTGAGATAAAATAGGTAAATGTTATGTAAAATGTTATAAGTTTAAATAGTATTTCATTCATGTATTTCAACTATAGGGCTAATACAATATGTCCCCTATATGAATATTATATAGACCTATTGTTTAAATCAAATTTATGCTTTAAAAGTAGGGTAATCATAGCAGGTTTCATCCATAGTCTGTCCGTTTAAACGTCTGCGTTTAGCTTCAAATGGAGTCTTTGACTACAGTGTTATATAAAAATTATTTGCATTCCAATTCTGACATCCAAATGCACAACAATACATTTTTTCTCTTATTCCATGGATTTTACACGTTTCCCTCCACTTGTTACCAGTGTTTTTCTGCCACCACTATGCACGCGCAGCTCCAAATTGGTCTATTCAAAGTGGGATTGTCTTTTGCTGTGAATAAGTGTTGTAGTTTGCCTGAAGTGACGTAACTGTGACGTCTACTCCAAATTGGTCTATAGGTAGCCATTTAATGTGTCAGCCCCAAAGGATAAGTATCTTTATTAGAGCAATACACGTGTACTGATGAAGTTATCTATCCTTTGTTGCTGCCTGGCACATTTCATCTCTGGCCTACCGAGATTAAACTTTTCCTTTCCATTCACAATTCTCCAGAGATGTTGCTGAAATGGCAACAACAGCACAGTCTAAACATAGCTGTTAGCCTGCGCTCAAACAAGGGCAAAGTGAAATTGATTGATCCGTACAAGGTGTGACGGTCAGGAAAAGACACTGAAGCTTATTAGCAGTAACTGAAACAATGTTGAGACCTTTGAAAAGGACAATGATAAATGGACATGAGGTCAATAACCTGGGCTCATAGGAGTTCACCGCCAGATAACAAAACCAGCAACTAAAGGCCTCAGGTTTCATATTCACGCAATGTTTAAAATAAGCAAATTAACTATGTTTTCTGAGGTCAGGATCACTATACATAGACAAATCTTACCCCTAACCCCTTTAGAAGTAAACTGTGGTATCTTCAATCATTGTAAACACCACTCTACTTATAATTATGTCAAACTAACCCTAATCATATTATACATCTTTCAGCATTGAAATATAAGATTATTTTGTTCATTCACGTAGCTGTTTTCAAGTTTTGTCAAGGTTTGCTATTCTTCAGAGCACTGAGAGAAGAGCAAAACTTGCATTGACTAGAACACACATACTCATAAACACACACATACTCGTAAACAAAAATCATACCTGAGTAGGCTACCACTGCTCTTCTCTTCCTCAGGGTAAATGGCAGGATCCACACTCTCAGAAATCTCATTCAGCGCCTGAAACAACAACACAGTTAAAACATTAAAAGCCACAAAATGTTAACTTGCTTTAAGAATTTATGTGGTCCATTTAGCCAATCATAATAGAGGTCATATACATACAGAACTCATTTACAGCAGCAAAAACAGCAAAAACAGCAAGGCCAGAGAGAGGATAATGACCATGAAAAAAACAAAAAATAGCTTTTGGTGGCCAAAAAAAAAAAATCGTCTGATATTATGAATGGACCTCAAGAAAAAAAAAAGAAAAAAAAAAAGTGCCCTATCGTGTAGTGTGTACTGATGTCTTACTCTGTCTCTTACTTCTTTCAGGTGAGGGAACCTCTTTTCGCTCTCCAGACGTGATGGAGGAGGCACAGAGGATCTGGCTTCGCTCAGAGGATCCAGAGAGAGGGCATCCAGGAACAGGCTCCCTGGGGGCAGGTGTCCCTCAAAGGGTCTGTGTCTGCCCATCGCCCCCTTCTCCTCCAGCGTGGCCTCCGAGTCGGAGTGGGAGCGCGAGTGTGCGGCTGTGCAGGGGGAGCGTGGAGATTTAGGAGCTTTACAGGGGCTCTCCTGAGGGGAGAAGACATGTGCTGCGCCTCCTTCTGACTGAAGAACATCTTTCTGCATCTGAGGTGGAGAAGAGGAGATGATGGCTTTGTTTCGAGACCTAGTAAGCTGTCTTACTGCCAACTGTCTTAGGCAACTATCTTCTAAGGCAGGGTTTTTTGGACAGCTGAACCCCTTAGATGTGAAACATTTACATTTAGTCTCTCCTGAGATTATAAATGAATATTTAAATAATTCAACAACACATTCCCATGTTCCTTTAATCTTTTATTAAAAGTGATTTATTTTGACTTTGTAGTTGGAACCCAATCAAATGTAATAATAATAATAATAATGATAATTTTAGTTATAATTATATTATTATATTTAACTTTAATTATTAGAAATTAGTGCTGTCAAACGATTAATCGCATCCAAAATAAAAGTTTTTGTTCACATAATATATGTGTGTGTACTGTGTATATTTATTATGTATATATAAATACAAACACATGCATGTATATATTTAAAAAAAATATGTTATGTTTATATAATAAATATATTTATATATAATATAAATTATATGAATATAAATATATACATGTAAATACATGTAAATATTTTCAAAATATATACTGTATGTGTGTTCATTTATATATACATAATAAATATACACAGTACACACACATATATTATGTGAACAAAAACTTTTATTTTGGATGCGATTAATCGCGATTAATCATTTGACAGCACTATTAGAAATGAATACAGAAATATATTACTATTGTAAATTACAATAAAAAAATCAATATTTAATAATTATACTTTCTTTACACTACAAGTTACAATACTAATATTTAGGTATTTATTATTTTTATATTTTTATTTTCAAATGTTGTAAATGTGTAAATAAAGTGAACCTAGTGCATGTTGTATTACCAAATACATGTGAAACTCGCAGCGCAAGCAGAGTTTTATGCATTTACTGTGAACTAAGCTGCTCTGAGATGCTGAATACAGTGGATTATATCATGAAATATTGAAATAATGAGTTTCCATGATTGATTCTGCTATTTTCCTGTTTATCTCTGTGAAGCTGCTTTGACACATCCTGTATTGTATTAAATGCTATAGAACATTTGAATGCAGTTACTGTACATGTCTTGTCTACCATGTATTGATGTGTATGAGTGAAATAAGCAGGATTTACGCCTCGGACCTTTTCCATCTTGCGGTGCATTTCCCGTAAGCTGCGGTCCCACTCCTGTCTCTCTTTCTCGAACCGCTCTAGTAGTTCATTCCTCTCACGGGTCCAGCGCTTTTCTCCATGCTGCAGTTTCCAGCGCAGCTCCAGTGCCGTGCTGTGACTGTCGGCCAGCAGACGGTGCTGTTCCTCCCGCTCCTGCTGTAACACGTCTGCAGAGTCTGCACCTTCATCTGCGACTGCGCCTGCAGACTCACCTCTCATATCCTGCAGCTGCAGACAAGGAAAAGAATACATGCCTGCATTGGATATGTTTGAAATGGCAAACTACAGTCTTGCAGAGCATGCACAATATGCAAATTGTATGTATGCACAGAACAACCGAATAAAACTACGTATTCCATAATTAAATGCACTACACTGGACCTTCCATTTACAGTATGACAAATGAACCGCAATTACAGCTGTGATTTATAACATCAACTTCTTGGTTTAAGAAGAAGTTTATGACATCAGCTTCTTGGTTTTTAATGTAAACAATGGATTAAAAATGTGAAATAGCCGTATTTATTTCTAAAATGTTTATAGGATATCACTTGCTGAATTAAACATGCAAATTATTGACATCATATTATCATTTATTAACACTATTAATATATTATTATAATAATAATTATTATTATTACACTTACTAAATTAAACATACAACTTACTGACATTATATGACAATTTATCATTAGCATTTATTATTACTATTAATCTATTACTACTATTATTATTATTATCAATAATACTAGTATTACTAAATTTTCTGAATTAAACATGCAACTTACTGGCATCATCTGAAAACAATCTAGCCATATAATAATAATAATGCCTTTTATTATTATTATTATTATAACACTCACTGAATTAAATATGCAAATATGCTAAATTATTGCATCATATGACAACATTCTAGCATTATTATTGTTAATTAATATTAACATTTTTATTATTATTAATTATTAGTATTAACATTCTTATTACTATTATTATTATTATCATCATTTAAGGCAAAGTGTAAAAAAAAACAAATATTTAATTATATAATTGTAGATTTTTGACCAGTGACTAATGACTTAAAGTAGTGAAATGACTAATATTTTGTTTCTGTTGCCACAGCTCCGAAAAAAGTTTCATTTTTGCTGCGGGTCTACAGTTGATTAGTCACATGGTATTGACAGCTCATGTGATTGGCTCAAAACAACCTGGCTGCAGTTCGAAGCGCCTGTGAGAGAAGCATAGTATAGTATACAGTACATAGTGTACATATACTGCAAAGAATGGAATCAGCAGTATGTGAGTGTTCAAATCTGAACACAGCCATACAAACACACTCAAATAGGACTCTACATAGCTAAATATCAACTGTAAATATATACTCAGAGTGTAAGTTTGCCAAATTGCTGAAATGAAATGCAGTAAACGTAGTGCAGGACAGTCCAGATACACCTTCCTCGCATGTCTAGCCAGATGTTCCTAAATCTACTCGCTGTCTGAATGAGCAGGGCTCCTCTGACATCTGCTTTCTTTTAATAGACCATGACTGTGTTTGACGGCCGAACTGCACCACTGCATAAATATAGCTGGCTATTTAAAGACGCTCCCTAACTCACCGATACCAAAACAGCACTCGAGTCACTGTGAGCCGAAAGCAATGCATGGCACTGCAGATGCTTAACGTCTTGGCAGATGCTGCTTAACTAGATTTATGTCTAGTTAAGACATAAAGAAAATGAGTTTTATGACAAGAATGAATTTTACTAACTTGACCTTTTAGAAAGTCACCTTGGACATTGATAAAATTGATTAATGGTTTAAAATGCTATTTACATTACCGTTCAAAAGATTATTATTTTTAAAAAATTAGAATTAAAGATTTCTCTTCTGCTCACCAAGGCTGAATTTATTTGATACAGTAAAAACAGAAATATTGTGAAATATTATTACAAATGAAAATAACTGTTTTCTATGTGAATATATTTTAAAATGTAATTTATTTCTGTGATGCGCAGCTGAATTTTCAGCATAATTTCTCCAGTCTTCAGTGTCACATGATCCTTCAGAAATCATTCTAATATGCTGATTTGCTGCTCAAGAAACATGTTGAAAACAGTTGTACTGCTTCCTATTTTTATGGAAACTGTGATACATTTTTCTTTTCAGGATTCTTTGATGAAAACAAATTTCAAAAGGACAGCATTAATTTGTCTTAAATGTCTTTACTGTCACTTTTGATCAATTTAATGTATCTTTGCTTAATAAATGTATTCATTTCTTTCTAATTTCCCTAAACTTTTTATTGGGAGTGTAAATCATTTAGTTTAAAATATTTTTAAGTTAAATATTTTTTATTCTTATTTTAAAACGCTTTTTTTAAACCACGGAATTAAACAGTTGTTCTAGACATTTTTTAATGCAGCATTGATCAAAAATTCCATTTTATTAAAAAGTAACTATTTTTACATATATAACAGTTTGTGCTTAATACCAGACTCGTGAATGAGTGAGTGACCATTAATAAAGTTGATGTGATGTAGAGCGTTTGAGTTTAGTCACTTATGAGGTTCCAAGTCTGTTAGGATGCTCCCTATGTAGACAGCAGTCAGGTTTTAGGTGCTGTACTGCCGTTCACAGGTGATTCTGCTGTGATGTAAGGTTTGTTTCTGTACCTTGGCGACGTGACTCCTCATTTCAGCGCGCTGTATCTCCCACGCTGCTGTCTCATTGGCTAACGTCTGCTGCAGCTGCCATCGCCGCTGGGCCTCCTCGCGGAGCTCCGCCCTGAACTCCTCCAGCAGAGAGCGCAGCGCATGCAGCACCCGCCGACTGTCACCCGCCTGCACACACAGACCACAGTGTTATTGCTCAGAGGTCGCTCTGTTGTAGCTCGATGGAGTTCTCAGTTTAAGTATCAACTTCGTCTCAGATGTTTCTCCTGCTATTTTTTAGGAAAAAGACACGAATGAGTCACTAGTTGTCATCCAGTAAGAGTGTAGAGCTATAAAATGAATGCGAACAGCAGCTCAGATCATTAATACTTACCAAGTGCCAAATGTGAGTAAAAAACAGCTTTGGCGAGTATTTGTCAACTAGTATATTAATTCTAACAATGCCCGAGATATGCCTAATATGAACCAAAGTGAAGCAGCACGGCAATCTTTTCATGGTTCCACACCAACTGGATCTCTGCAAGTGCTGTGACTTTGAGTCGCATGTAATGTGAGTTTGAAAATGCAATAAATGTCCAACATCTTGCCATGTTTTAAAGGGGTCATATGATGCGATTTCAAGTTTTCCTTTCTCTTTGGAGTGTTACAAGCTGTTCGTGAACAGATAAGATCCCTGAAGTTGCAAAGACTAAAGTCTCAAACCCAAAGAGGTATTCTTTATAAAAGTTAAAACTGGTCCACGCCCTCCTAAAACGCCTTGTTTAAACAAGCCCCCACATGTCTACGTCACGATGTGGGAATATTTGCATAACGCCGCCCAAATGTTCACGCAAAGAAAGAAGGCGTAACTTTATTGTTGCTGCCACCGCCGCCGCCATGTTGTGAAGACGCTGTGTGTATCGTTGCGAAAGCGAAACTACTTTGTTTGGTCTTCCAAAAGAGGACACGACTAGGTTATTTTTAGCAACATCATATGACCCCTTTAATGAATGGTTTAGAAATCTGTTGTCAACAAAAGAGAAGCATTTCATAAGAGAAGTTTCCCTGTGGTTTTCCACCAAGATAAATGCTCTATGGTTTAATGTTTGAAAGCACACAAAATAACAACCATAACAGTTTTCCAGTTGTACTGTTGTTATATAAAATGTATTTTTCTTCTTCTTATTATTCCCTGTTGAAAAAAATCCAGCATATGTTGGTTAGGTATGTTTTGAATCATGGCTGCTAGTTTGTGCTGGTCCTAAGCTACTAGCTCCAGCTCATGACCAGCTCAGGACCAGCTTAAACCAGCTCAAACCAGCAGCCATGCTTCAAAACATACCTAACCAGCATATGCTGGATTTTTCAACTGGGTTATTATTTGTAATAGTATTTATTTTATTTTAACTAATGTAATCTCTCTTTTTTCCCGCCAATTTTTACTACTTACTGATATTGTATTTTTTTTCTTTTGTATATTTCCTATGAAACTTTTTATGTTTACTTTTTTCAATAATTTTATTGTAAAGCACTTGGTAATAAATTACCACTTTGTATGAAATGTGCTATGTAAATGAAATTACCATACATTACATAGTAGTGGCAATAATAGTAGTACATACATATATATATATATATATATACTGTTATTTTTTATTGATTTAGTTTTCATAATTTAATGAAATTTTAATAATAAAAATAAATAAATAAATAATTGAGAAGCAGTAGTCTCCTGTTGATATTATATAGGAGAAATCAGTTCGATTTTTACAAAGATTTCATTTGGGATTTTTCTTTCCTGCATGTGAGGGACTGTAAAACACATCTCTAAGAACACATTAGTTGTGGATTTGTATTATTAATTGAGTTAATCATGATACAATAAGTCTTAGTCAGCGCCGCTCCAGAAGCGGCTTTAATTAAAGAAACAGTTCTGTCATTATTGATTCACACTCATGTCATTTCTGTTTAAACTAGAAGTGAGTGTTAATGAGAGAGAACATTTATAAATTCTGAGACACATTAATATCAAATCTCTCTTAAGTTTAAAGACAAAGTGTGCAATTTCTGTGGCACTAAACAGAATTGCAAACAAATTCAAAATTCACCATTTACTGAAATGATGTTATATTCAGCTCCGACAAACACTGCATTTTAATTTAGTGCAGCCAGTGGTGAAGAAATAACACTTTAACAGTAATGGCCAATGAGTGACGGTTCAATAAACCAATATCTTCCTAAGGAACATATCTTCCCTCAGTAGTATGCAAGCTTCGTCAGCACAGCAGAAAACCACAGCATCAATGAAGCCAACTGCATTTGTGTTAAAAGTGCGTGTTCAGCACAAACGACTTCTACTGAAATTCATTCAAAACCCTATGCATGCCGAGAAAAGGCCACATCCTTACAAACAAGAGATTGTGGCAGCTTTTAATGATTTGTAAAACTAAAGAGTTTACAAACTCCTGCACTTAGAGAAATTAAATAATAGACTAGAGCTGAGAGAGCGTTTACTGCTTTATATGGAGCAAACAGACACTGCTGCTGAAACATTTACACTGATTTAATATTTACTACAGAACGCAGAGAAGAGAGATTTTAAGGTGAACAATCATGAGTTCAAATGTCTTTTTTCCTATAGTTTGTTTAATATACAAAAGGATAAATATGATTAACAACAATCTCGCATCCCAAATTACGTCTAAACACTGTGGATTATTACAGCACTTCTTGGGTTTTTGCCTGCTTAAAATGAATTGCTTCTTGTTTTCCTAATTTTTATTTGGATAAAATCATCTGCTAAATGAATAAATGCAAATATATTTTTAAAAATGTCTTGTAATGAAATTTAAACTAAACTTTACAATTAATTTGATTTGCCATAGAATAGAAATTTGCTTGGATTTGGCACAACTGACACTTATTAAAATAGTAGAAATACAATCCTGCTACAGACCATACTTTCACATGTTTGATGGATATGTTGCTGTGATATTAAAACAAACAAACAAACAAACAAACAAATAAATAAATAAATAAAATAAAATACAATAAAATGCAATTTTAATTTAAAAGTGAGTGAATAAATAAAAAAGTGAGTGAATCCTTGTGACATTATTTTCATTACAAAATATGTTTCAGTGGTATTTTTACCTGTTTCTGGTACTGGAATGTCTCTGGTGACAGCAGGAGGGGGCTGGGCTCTGTGAGGTCACTTCCTGTGATTTGGGCGCACACTTTGTCTTCCCTCTCCGTCTCTCCATCACCCTGATCGACCATAATGCCCAGTTCTGGAATGTTCTCCAATCGTTCATACTGAAGAAACAAATAAGAGGGAAAGCAGAGAAAATGTTTAGAGTAGAAAAAAAAAAAAATTCTTAATAAAATTAAATACAAATAAAATGTAACTAAAAAAAACAAAATAAAACAAATATTTTTTATATAAAACTAAATAAATAAATAAAATGATGTATTAATATGCTGTAAAATCATTTCAGTCTAACTAATATTCCTGCACTGGAAATGTGCTTGAACTTCACTTCACTTAAATTTTGTTGTGCTTCAGAAAACAACAGCTGCTGTTGTAGATATGACAGATGGACTGTGAAATGAAAAATCATACAACATGTGCTCACACTAATTCACACTATTCCAAAGCTGAACTGTTATAGTTCATCAGACGACCGACTGCCATGAAAGAGACAAACATATCTAAAAAAAAAAAAAAGTAGTGGAAGAAGCGTCTACAAGAATTCATCAGAAATGCAAACTTCACATTATTCATTTTTTGCATCTCAGAAAGTTCATTATTTCTGTCAGTTATAGTTTAATCAGAACTTAATAAAAATTAATAAAAATAAAACAAAACTAAATATTTGATATAAAACTAAAACAAAAAATATAATACATTATTTAATTTATTTGATTATTTTTCAGTTAGTTTTATGTCAAAAATATTTAGTCGTTTTATTTTATTATTATTTATTTATATGCAAAAAGCATTCATGTATCTGTAAATACATATAATAAAGTACATCAACACTTTAGCATTATTAATGCATTGTCCAGAAATAATCACAGGTGCAAAAAAAAAAAAAAACCTTTAAAATAAAGCATGTGGTAAATGACCAAATGTAACGTTACACTGACATTTTTATTGACTTTTTATAGATGCAATCTCATAAAAACGTTCAAGAAATGTCCTGCTCATCTGGTCAACTATAGTTCAATCATGACAACTCTCTGAAGATTTTAGCATGGTGATAGATATGACAATGTTAATGTATTTGGTCTTGGCAGCATGAACCAATCAGCTTGGGTCAAGTCGGCTAACTCTCTGAATATCATCAGTTACATTAACAACCCATCAGCCTGCGCCATCTAGAGTTTCATGACTGAACTATGTAGTTATTCAGGATCTGCTCACCTCAGCATGCGCTCCCTCCTCCAGTCCATCCGTCCTGCGGCCGAGCCTCCAGTGCATCAGGATCCAGTGCAGCTTCATGTAGACAATGACCATATTGTGGCGGAACAACCTCACTTCCTGTTGCAGCAGGACTCTTTCCTGTGGCCATGTTGGCTCATGAGATTGAAGTCCCTGCAGCTCGAGTCCTCGCCGGGCCTCGGCTCGCCTCCTCTCCTCCTCCTGCACAAGCCAAAGCATTCAACAAAGAGTCATGGTTAATATACTTGTTATTATTATGACATAAGACAGATGCATGCTTTCATAGAGAGCAATAAAACTATGAAAGATCATGTGGATGTTTAAGGCAAGTAGTAAAGTAATTCCTATTTGAAAAACCATCTAAAAAGAATTTTTATTGTGCAGTTTGCTAGCTGGACTAAGCTAGTTTAGGTGGATAATTAGCCAGACTAAAAGTTAGTGGGTACCTGGCTAGGCTGGTAAACCGTCTTGGACTAGCAATAAAGCAATAACTAGTTCTAATAACTAGTTTAACTATATTAACCCTATAAAGACTAAAATTGATCAAAACTTTATTGATAAACCTGTCGCACGCAATCTACTCCATGCCTTCTGTCGTCGGATTGATTGTTTAGTCTATTTTTTCCAAATAAAAACTTTTAATGTACAATATTTGTTCAAACGTCCTCCTTCAGCTTGTGCTTCACGTGTCTTTTTGCAGTCAAATCTTTACTGATTTTATAAAGTAAAAATAAGAATAACTGATTTTGTTAGTAATATCTTAAGATGAACACATACTGGACTGAAGAACTGAATCATTTTTTTTTTAGAAAAGTCATGTTCAAATGTGAGATCAACAGGCTTTTGAGGAACATTTATTTGATCATCTCTTAATCATCATTGTATTATATGTTTTGATCATAAAACTAATAATTTAAATATCATATTACTAAGACATTAATTGAGATATAGAGTGAAGATGACTGACATTTATTTCATTTTATGTCAGTATCTGCTATGATGTCATAAAGATCTCATTGATTTACATGACAAGCATCACTTGTTGATCATATAAATATCAGCATTTTTTCAACCATATTCTTGCTATATCACACTATATAAGCCATTAAAGCCTGATTGATCAAATATGATACTCATTAAAAACACATTTGCAAACTTCTTGTTTTGAATGTCTAAACATTCAATAAACTGTCCCATTAAAAAAAAACAAAAAAAAAAAACAACTTTTTGACTATTATTTCATATGTCACACTTTACAGGGTTAAGCTGGTATGACTTAGTGGTTATACAGAGTAGTCAACTAGTTATACTGTACTTCTAGTCCATGTTTTGGGTCTGATATACTGTCTATCCATGGCAAGCTACTATTTTCACATCAGTTTTACATGTGAAGAGCTTTTGAACTGATGACTTGTAGAGTAGATCTGATCCTGTTTCTAAAAGTAAACCATGTCAAGTCATATTTACTTCTGTATTGCTTCATACAATTACACATTGTTTCAAAGCAGCTTTACAGATGAGACTAATACAGTTTAATCAGTAATGCCACTCTACAGCAGATAATACTGTAGTTCAGTAATGTACCTGAGTGATGGACGAAGTGAAGCTGTCTCTCATCCTCCTGTCGTGCTCCAGGCGCAGCTGTGTTTCTCTGGTTGGTGTTCTCATCTCGGACAGGACCGGGTCACGGAGCTGGACCCCATCAGAACACAGAACAGCAGTCTCAAAATCCCAGCACTTTTGAGAGAAACACCATCAGTTCTCATGCACAAACTCGTCTGTGTCATGCAGCTCGGCAGATGCGAGGTGATATTTTAGCTTCTCTTTCTAGATTCACTACCTTTACATGGATGGTTAGGCAGGAAAACATTGCAACACTGCATTCTTAATGGAACAGTTTCCTAATAAACTCTCTGGATCTCTGGTGATAAATGCTAGAGAATTAATACAGTCAGCCAAAGGAAGATTCTCCATGAAATAAGCTCATAATCAATTTAGATTAATTTCTACTCTGAAGAAATACTAAAGCTGTGCTTTATGTGCTGCGGTTTGTAAGTGCTAACAAATGTCTCATTGTAAGAGTGAATCAGGGTTATTATTGTTAACTAACACTAAAACTAAAACCATAACAAATATTTTTGTTATCTGAAATAAATAAACATTAACTGAAATAAACTGTAAAATGATTTAATTCCTACTATTTTTCAAGACAACATTTCTCATTTTTGTTTTAAGCTGAAGTACTAAAATAGCTAAAAGTAATATTAATAAAATAATAATAAATATGAATAATAAATTAATTAATACCATATAGAAATGGTAAAAAAGACAAAAGCTAAATTACTACATTTGTTTTTACTACAATTAAATTTTTATATATATATATATATAATCTAATTATTATTTAAATCTAAATATTAACAAAAACTATTGTAAAACTAAAACCATAACAAATATTTTTATTATCTGAAATAAATAAACATTAACTGAAATAAAATAAACTAAATATTAACCAAAACTATTGTATATCATAGGCTCATATAACGTATACTATCGTTAATCATAAAGACGATAGAATAAGCATATGCTGCCTTCAAGTCTCTGCATTAATGACTGAGTGCATTTGATCAGTAACACCAGGTCATAAGTACAAGTGAGAAACACTTCTGTTCTCGAGTGCTGTGTTTTAAGGGATAGCACATAAACTGGGACTAAAACACAACAAATTAAATGCAAACATATATATCAACAGATGACATGATTAACACACACAGCCCTTATTTTCAACAGAAACATCACATTTTTCAAAGCCCCTGCGTGAGAGAATGGTGAGTGATCGTAATTCATGACGATAAATTAACAGCAGTGATTGTGAGCGGAGTGAGAAAAACCAAAAGAATCACTGAGACAATGATGGGAATTAAGTGGTTCAAGTGAACGAACTGCTCTGGGCTAGATCTACCGTTTCATTTAGTTGCATCAGACGAATCAGTGCTGTTGCTGTATCTGGTCTAATAACCTGGTGTAAAATAACTGGCAGTGCTATTTGATGACATCTGGCTCACTTCCATTTAGTTTTAATACATTAGAGATTTAATGCATTTTATTCAATTAAATAAAGATACACAAACTAGGGAGAATTGCTCTTTATTGTGAAGTATGTCCTTTCCCTCTGAAAACAGGCTCTGTTTCAAAATCTAGTGAGCAGCCTTTCTGTCTTCATAGTCAGCATCATAAATGTCATATTGCATAAGGAATTGAAAACACTCTACATAGACATCAAGCTAATAAATGCATAAATAAATCAACCAATCACATACACATATTGTGTAAAATAGTCAATTTTAATTTATTTTTAACCATTTATAATTGCTAATTCTATAACAATTGGAAATCAAATATTTATTTAATGTATAATTAATAACTATTTAATGCACTTATTTAATCTAAAAATGTATTTAATTTGATAAATATATTTAATGCATTATAGGATTGCATTTGCCATAATATATCCAAAAAGGCATTTTAAAACTAGCATAACCAGGTTTCACCTCCAGAATGTGTCTGTGATGCCTAAACAATGACCTCTAGGTTTTGAAACAGATCCAGAGACATAGTAGTAGTTTTTGTGGGAGATTTGTCTGACAGAGAAACTCAATATTCACACACTGTTACCTTTGTGCTCAAACACCAATGCACTCACATTCATTTCAAATCTAATAAAACTTTTATTTCGAAATCTGGAGCCATATTCATAAATACTTCAGGCTTAGATGCAACCCTTGTGGTTCAGGTTTTAAAACCTGGTACCTCTGAAGGTCATTCGTGTTTCACGACGGAAATGTCATTAAACCAGTGTGTGAATATTTCCTCAGTTTTGATCTGTACTGCACATTTTCACAAGGAGAGGCACTCCAGCTCTCTAGTTTTCCACACACCACCGAAACAGCTCTTACTGGCCTGCTTTAATGTTAAAAGAGGATCACAGCCTTGGTTATGTCCGGATATCAGCCGTGGCTTTTTTTCTTTTCATGTAATATGGTTATATTTTAAATAGGAAAACTATAATATAATTGTAAAATGTAAATTTATTAGCATTATTATTGATATAAAATATTACTTTAAAATATTAATAACATTATTATTAATTACATAAGATTTGATTTAATAAATAATTATATTATAGAATATTGAATCAATAATATTAAAGAAATGTTATGAAATATATGAAATATATTATATATATATATATAGTGCTGTCAAGCGATTAATCGCATACAAAATAAAAGTTTTTGTTTGCATAATATATGTGTGTGTTCTGTGTATTTATTATGTATATACAAATACACACCACATGCATGTATATATTTAAGAAAAATTTGTTACGTTTATATTTTAAATGTATTTATATATGATATAAATTATATGAATATAAATATATACACGTAAATATTTCCAAAATATATGCTGTGTGTATTTTTATATACATAGGTCAAGGTCAAAGTTTATTTATATAGCACCTTAAAACAACACGAATGTTGACCAAAGTGCTTCACAAGCAGAGCAAGATACACACATATTAAAACAGAACGTGACAAGTAATCAATCCAATAACTTAAAAGAATAATCAAAACAAACATTTATAATAGCCAAAAAACAGTCATAACCTGGTACATCACAGAAACTGCAACCCCTGGCCTTAA